TTCGACTAACATGTAAAACTTTTTTTCAACCTTTCTTCTATAAATCGAAAAATTTAATAACTCAAATTTTGTTATATTTACTATATGTATATATTTTGACATACAAATCACTATTAATATCTTACATAATACATATACTTTTCTTTATAATTACTGGAAATTAAAACTTCCCTTTTAAAAATGTTAAAATTACACGAAAATTTACATAATAATAGAATATTATTATGTAATATATAATAATTTTAATATATATAATATATAATGAATTAAAATTTTGTATGCATGCTACTTTACTTAAAAATGCTCGCTTGTTTGTTATTTAACAATATTTAACAAAATATTTCATGAAATTTAATTATATATTTTGTTGTATATTATTCATAATATTTAACAAAATATTTCATAAAATATTGTTGAGAAATTTAATGAAATTCATATACCGCGCATAAATTCACCAATGAATATTTGTGAGAAATAGCACATGTAATATTTATTAAATTTAATTTAATCATTTGCAATTATGTGTATTTCTCTCTAATGCTTTACACATCCCTTACTAAAATTCACAAAGTTTCCATAATATACGATATCACGAAACATGATTAATTAAAAGGAAATAAATTGTTTACTAATAAAGAAGAATACCAAAGAGAAATGTCTTACAATAGTGTTCAATATTAATGCTTACCTTTATCCTTCATTTGAACGTATACACTGTAAGTATACTAACTTCGTGTACACACAAAACTAATGTAATCGTGTAACAAATTTATTCTAATATCTGTTTTTAAAACACACGAATACTTGTGATAATTTGAAGACAAATAACACGTTGAAGTGAATAACATACATAATATACAAAAATGTAATAAATAAACATGGTGGAATAAAAATAATATTCCTTCCTATTAACACAAATTTCATTCGTAAAAATTGTTTAAAGTCTTTATGTTAGTGACAATACTAGGAAAGGTCAGCTAATGATATGAAAAGTTCTTTTCAAAGTCAAATACAATGATGTGAATTTTACATTGTTCGCGAACCGAAGTACGTAGCTATTATCAATGGGATGCTGTCTATAAGATTTTATCATTTAACTCCAATAATAAGCTATAGCTAGTTTATAGCACACTGTGTATTCTATCGGTATATATTATACACCATTATATACAAGTTTAGAAATCTTGAAGAAATTAATAAGATATGTATATATATATATATATA